GAACTCCTTTGGCTTCTTCCAACCCCAAAGGAAGTGGAGTGACCTTTCCGTCAACCTTCTTCACCGGAATGGAAAAAACTCCCACCATGAAGTACTTGGCCTTTTTTCTTCGATCAACACCTGGTCGAAATGGTCCACATATGTCCACGCTCAGCGTGAGAGCATCAGGCCTCTGCACCTTCCTATGAGGACGATTCTTTCCACTTCCCTGAAGACAGACTGGACATTCACGGGAATACGGAAGATGATCATTTGCCACATGCTGCTTCCATTGCTCAGATGTCAACTTTGCCACCTTGTGGTCCACATCCTTGAGCTCCTCATCCTCGACCTGCCCAATCTGCAGAAGGATGCCTTTCGTGATTTCAATCTTGAAGTCCAACGGCCAAGCAGCCCAGGAACGACTCTCTGCAGTCTTCTCCCCCAAACTGCTTGTCACGGCCGGGAGATCACCTGGACGACGATGGTCAGTCAGTCCCTCCAACTGATGAAGATATCGAATGTTCGTCCCTAAGGTGGTCGGTTTTCTTCTTGGATGGCCCAGAGCTCCCAAGTCCAGCCGTACCTCACGCATGCCGAACTTCTTGATGAAGGTTTGCCACTCTGGCCAGGCAAAGAACGACGGGTACTCGACCGGATCATTTTCACTCTTGTACTCCTCTGGGTCTCTTGGATGCTCCTTCATGAACAGCACTTCCCTGGGTCGAGCTGACGAAGCCAGTGAATACAGCCACAACTGCCTCATCCACAACACAGCATCATTCCAAGCCAGCTCACGCAGCGTATCAGTCAAGGAGTCCAAGGCAAAGCGCTGAGGTCCACTCCTGGCCCGTAACGGTGGCGGTCCAGGTTGTCGAAATCTCAACTTGGAAACCGTGCGACAAGCTGCGCCACCCAGAAGAGCGTCAACAGTGCCTTTCTCACATAGCTCTGCTAGGAAGCTTGTCAACTGATCTGAGAGAAGGTCTTGGGAAGGATCAACCAGCTTGTCAATGCACAGCACCGACCTTGACGACGTCTCCAGCCACTTGCGCCACCATGCTTGATCCGGGCCAGAAAACAAATGCACAATCACCGACTTGCTGGAAAAAAGACGCTTTCGCTGATGTCTATTCAAAGGCACCTGCTCCCCTGACCATCTCCCCGAAGGTACCACCCTCGCCAGCAGCTCATCCGGGACCTCAGGCCACAGCTGTCTCAGATCACGCAGCCACCGCCAAATGCTAGGAGACAAATCACCCGGATCACCAGCACGTAGAGCGTTGACTCGACGAACCATCTCCCTCTCTTGGTCCTCCAGCTCCTGAATCATTCGTTGTGCCGTCTTCAAATCCACTGTCGGGCACCCCGCCTCCAGAAGCACTTCAACTCTCACACCACTAGAGTCCACCATCTCGAACTCCTCGCCCTCCCAAGTGACCTTGTACCCCAACTTCACGACCTTCCCAAGCGGAACGATCATTTGGGTATCAAAATCTGTCACCAGCGTGCCCGTCTCCTGGATCTGTCGAAGGGTCGTTACTCCCGCCGCCAGCTCCACCTGAATTGGGACTGCCTTGTCAAACTCCACCTTGGACTTGGCTGGACGTAGGATGTGAGTTGCTCCACCATCCAAAAGGGCACGATTGAAACCCTTTCCCCTGTTGACAGCGCATACTGTGACCGCCCTCACGGCCGGCCTCAAAGACTTTAACAACTGCACGGCTTCCTTCACAAGTGCTTCTGCTGGAGGAGGATCTAAATCCGAAGGCGGTAGAAAGGTCCCTGCACCTGCTGACGAAGACGAACCTTGCTCTCCCGACTTGGATGCGGCTTCCTTCACCTTCAAGTCCTCCGTGGTCTCCTTTTTCACACGTGGTGCCTCCTTCACCGGACACTCTGACTTCATGTGCTGTGAAGACCCACAATTCCAGCATCTACCTTGCTTTGACACTCCTTTCCACTCATGTGGGAAAGAACACTTCTGGCCTTTTTTGCATCCAGAATCTGAAAGGAAATATCTGCAGACAGGTTTTTCTCCAGGGCCCGGCTTACCATCACCCTTGGTGTTCTTTGGCTCCGGTTTTCCACCCTTTCCATCCTTGTTCTCCTTGAAGTCCTTGCCATCAGCCGCCTCTTTGGATTTGTCCTTGGCATCACGCTTCGGATGGTCATCTTTGTGAACTTGAGCGTCCCCATCCAAAGCCCTCACCTTGACACTCTCTTTCAGAGGCAGCCACGAACCACCATGGAAAACCGCTTCACCTTCTGCTAGCAACGATTCTGAGAATTGGTGGATGCCCTGCTCCGTAGGTGCAGTGTCCACACGAAGAGCTGCACGTGTCACTTGAAGCCTGAACGCCACCTGAGGCGAATGCTTCCCCAAACCAGCTGCGAAGCGATCCAACGTGGCCAAGAGAAGAACTGGATCAGGGGGCTGAATTCCAAGTTCCTGCACTCTGGTCAACCACCTCCTCCATGCCCTCAGAGCCACCATCCACTCGCTAAGCGGCGCCGGCACTTTTTGGTCAACCAACTGCTTCAGTAAGGTTGTCCTTTCTCCCAAGCCTCCAGGCTGGTACACACGCAAGATCTTGAACATGATCCCAATGGAGCTTACCTCACGCTGGGCCACCAACTCCGACCTCAAAGACTCTGGCAGTGCCTTGAGGAGTGCAACTGAGCCACGTTGTTCAATTCGAAGCCAAGGTGCAACTTGAAATGCAGGAGGCGACACTGGATTGAGTCGAAGGCGCTCCATTGGCTCTGAACCCAACCACACACGGTAAAGCGCCCCCGCCACGCGAAGCACCTCGTCCCACCAAAACGATGAGCTCGATGACATGTCCCTCAAAAATGGACCAATGGTGGTGATCCAATCTCCAGCTAAAAGGGGGCCAACCTCCGACTCCGAAAGCTCAGGTAAGGCGGGAAGGTCAACCGCACGGACCGATTCTTGTTGAGCCATCAACCCACCGATCCAAGCTGGAATCTGACCCATCGGCAAACCACCGGCACCTCCTCCACCAGGTGGACCACCAGGACCTCCTCCAGGAAACCCGCCAGGTAAACCACCACCCGGAAAATCTCCTGGTCCACCGCGACCACCCGGAAAACCTCCTGGTCCACCGCCTCCAAAAGGAAACCCGCCAGGAAAGCCTCCACCAGGAAAACCTCCAGGACCATCACCATGCGGAAACGGCGCACCACCAGGTTGATTTACTCCCGAACCAGAGGGTTGTCCACTATCTCCTCTACCAGACTGATCACCTGCTTGACCGTTGGCACCTCCTTGAGCTGAACCTCCAGCCTCGCTTCCACCAGGTTGCCCTCCAAGTCCCCCAGCAGGATCCCCTGCAGGTTGGCTAGCACACCCTTGAGGTTCCGGACGAAGTTGCGTGGTCTCCATCTGAGCTTGCGAGCTTCGGCCACTCACTTGATCAGCCACTGCACGTCCCGATCCCTCCGCGACGAAACCGGCACTCCCCTGAAGACCAGCCATACCGCCACGATCAAAAGCACCTGGTGAAATCATCGAACCAGAGAAGCCTCCACCAGAAACCATATTAAACAGCTCCATGAGGTTGCCCCGAGGAAGATGCATCTGACTACCCAACCACCCAGACTCCGTTCTTGAAGGTGGAAAAACGCCGCTTCGATCACCTGGCATAGAGAGCGGACCCAGCAAACCCCGGTCTTGCTGTTGGAACATGGGGCCCCACATGGACTTCACCGCCTCAAACATCGGCCCCAAAGGATTCCTCATTGGTCCTTGCTGTTCCCCCAACAAGCTTCCCATGTGTGGCTGCTGGAAACCAAATTGCCCATGTGCTTGCCCCCAATTTCCATGACCAGAGGCGAACATCTCTCTTTCGGACCAAAGCTTCGCATTTTCTTGTAGTAGTCCTTGCATCATCATTCGGACTGCTTCTTGAGACTCACGTGGAGGACTTACCACAGGTGCCGCCACATGTTGAACCGGCTCTGGAACCTCGCTGGGCAGGTGCGAAGGTCTGCAAGCTCTGAGGATCGCTTCCTCTCTCGCTGACTCGCTCCAGAAAGGATTGACCTGAACCGAGGGGCCGAGAGCCACCGGCTGGCCTTGCGGCCTCACAAGAGCTCCATGCTCCGGTCGGATGTCCTCTATGGCTCTAGGACCACCCGACTCGGGCGTCTTTTCAGACGCATTCTCCGACATGGCTTTCAAAGCGCCGTGGAGCCGTCTCTTGGGCTCATAACCCACCAGAAACTGAAATCGCGTTTCCCTTTTCTTCGCTTGACACGAAAGGGCTTCATTGTTCATGCCCAATCCTCAACAACCTTCACAATCATTCATTCACACATTTCAACTCATGGAATTAGGGATTCTGCTATAATATATTTGATTTGATTGCAACCAATGGGTATATATACATATCATGTCATATCTTATATCTAAGGTTGGAATAGATTGCAACCAACGGATATATCATCATGTCATATCTTTAAAAGTACTTTAGCACATTGCAGGCTAATATATATATATATCATTACATGTCGTATCTTATATAAGGTTGAATAGATTGCAACCAATGGATATATCATCACGTCGCAATATGTCACATCTTATTATGTTTCATTACAGCATGCGTTGTTTCGCATTGCAGTGACGGGCGACTGAAAAAATTGCACTAGTCCATCCATGGGTCCACCAAGCTTCACAGGCCAACCTGTTTTGGCAACCCTAATCCGCCTAATCTGGATACATCAAGTCACAAGCTCGCAAAAGAGAAAAACATGGTAGTTGTTGATCATGAAAGACATTCATAGATTCATAGCTCCGTTCAAAACCCGTTTGTAAGCTACTTTGGGCATCCAAATCCATCCTGTGGAAGAGACCACTTTGTAGAACTACAAAATGGTGAGTTTATCAGCTCAGATCATGTGTCTAACCTGGTCAGGTCGCTTCGTTTGTCCGGTGATCTACATGTCCGATGCAGTCTTGGACTTCCACGCTGCCGGGCCAAGATCACCGCCCGGGCCTTCTGAAGCTCTTCTGCGGAGGCATCTCGGTCGATGTCCAGGATTACCTGAGACCCCCATCCATTCACTGGTCAAGGGTTCACGCCCCGATGACCATGATATGATGGTCCAACTTCAGTCCGCTGCCCCTGAATCCTTCAAATCCAGATGTGAAGACCACGCACATGAAGTATCATGAAGTCATGGCTTCAAAACGCCGTCGCCATGAGCTCCCCCCCAATCTTCGTCGACCTTGAAGCCGTGGCCCCTGGTGGCGCCTCTGAGACACTCCGGTCTTTGAGCGCTTTTTGACCCTCCGTATCCCTCTGTTGAACCGACGTCCAAACAGGTCAGTCTGCATTTTGAACAGTGAAAAGAAGTCTGCTTCTTCAGTACGTGACCTCTTTGGAGTCCCATCCAGTGACCGTTTTGAGTCGAGGGCCCGGCCCTTAAGGACTGTTCTTTTTTGTGACCGAACCAACTTTGATATCAAGTTCGGTCACGAAACGCAAGAACCAGGAATGTTGCATTGCTTGCGGCCGAAGCAGCGTAGGGATTTCCCGCCGTACCTGTCGATCGGCCGATCTGGCATCCGCACGACGAAGAATCCGCTCCACGGGGGATCTGCGAACGACGCGACGCCCGGTGTCCAGCAGGTGCTGTCGACTGCGTCGACGACCTCCATCGACTTGATCGGGGACGATCGAGCGCCGCTGGAAGCGCCTGTGAGGACTTTGGTTCGGGTGAGTTGGGTGAGACCCCACAACTCACAACAAAATCAAGAGGAAAAATGGACGGACCGAAGGGATGGCTGATTGCCTGAAGGTATTGTGTGTTGATCTTCGGTAGGGGTCCACTCGGACTCACTTGGCATACTTTGACTCTGACTTCAACACGTTCAACTGTAGGCTTGGGATTTCATGGGTTGTCAAAGGTTGTGTTCTTCTATAGGAGCTTCCCCAAGGTTTCATGTCCCATGAAAATGGCTTTGAGTAAGGCATTTCGAAAGGCTGTTCTCCTGGGAGCTTCCGAGTGCTTTTAGCCTCGCCTGCCATCCGCTGTTCGAGGTCAACCACACCGGCGCTGTGGAAAAAGGCAGGTAACTTGGCATGAAGTGCTTTTGTGAGAACCAAACATCCAAGTCCATGCAAGGGAGGGCAAAGGCAAAAGAACACATTAATAATGAAAAATCATGAATCATAAATGCATAAGGCCTTGAGGAATCCAAAATCCTGCTTTTTGTTCGGGAAAAAAAAACAGGGGATGCCGGAGGACAAACCAACAACTTGAGGGAACATATGCAGTATTGGGATGAGTCCCTAGTAGCGTTCTTTGCTCCTAGTAACTAGTAGCGATGCCAGGAGCCCCTAGTAGCGTTCTTTGTTCCTAGTAGTAAGGCCA